CCTGCTTTCACGTTTCTGAGCCCTGGCGAGATACCCTTTCACGCTGCTTTACTTTTACAAGGCCTGAGGCCTGCATCGGGTAAAGACCCCTTTTACTCTCGCCGGCCTAGTTTCGAAGTCCTCTGAGAATCATTTACCTATTAAGGATATGAATTCCTCTTTTTGCGCTTTCATATGCAGACACAATATGAGGTGCAAAGTCTAATAGTTCTTCTCGTGTGAACCAGCGATCTTCACTGGGATTCTGGTATGCAAACCTCACCTTATATTGTCGTTGTGGTCTGCCCCTACGTCCAGTGTGGTAGGTACTTTCTGCAACAATTTTATCCACGTCATACTTTCCATCCATACTTGGAGGTATCGCTGATCGGCGACTTGGAAAGAGCTCATTTGTTACACAAGGTAAGAGCTTGGATGCATGGAACACTGGATACGTACGTATATGTAGAGGAATTTCAACAACATACGAAGGACCATCCATATCTCCAATCACATCTAAAATTTGCCAAGGTCCTCTGTAGGCGGGTAAAAGCTTTTGAGAGATGTTTTCTTCAGGAGCAAACTCTTTAGACTTCACCCAAACCAAATCTCCTACAGCAAATTGAGATGGTCGCCTGTGTTTATTTGCTTGTTCAATCGTTTGATGCTGTGCTTTGAGGATGTTTTCCTTTACCTTCTCAATACCTTTCTGATACTGCACTGCAAACTCACTAGTCCCTATAGGAAGCTTATGTACTTGATCCGGGTTCAACCGATCAATGGGTCTACGAGGACGCCATCCCAGATGTAACTCCATAGGAGTCTTACACGTAGATAGATGTACAGAGTTATTGTAGGCACTAGCAACTTTAGGCAGATGTTCATCCCAATCAATCTGATCGGGGTGAATGTACATGCACAAAGTCTGTTGCAATATCTTGTTCATCTGCTTAGTCTGGCCATTGGTCTCAGGATGCCTACCTGAGGACATAGTCAGTTTAGAGCCATACACATTCATTAGTTGCTGCCATTGTTCACTCGTGAACCGTGTGTCTCAGTCACTTACAATAGTTAAGGGATGTCCAAAGTCTTTCACCCAATGGTTAAAGAACTCCCGAATAACCAAATCCGTTTTTGCTTCCGAAGGTAAGGCTACAAAAACAGCATACTTAGTGAATCTATCCACTATGACCATTACTTGCGTTTTCCCATTTCTGCTTTTCACCTTAGTATCCATGAAATCTATAGAGACAGAGTCTCCAGGGCCTGTAGGGATACGCAATGGCTTAAGTAGCCCAAGGGGCGATTGCGTGGTGCTTTTGTTTCGTTGGCATACTTGACAACCTTGTACATACGCGATACAGTCTGCCTTCATTCGAGGCCAGGTGTAGGAACGCAACAAAGTCCCATAGGTCTTCTTCCACCCAAAATGGCCTTCAGTATCATGGCATTCCCCCAAGATCATACTTTTGATCTCCTCATTATTGGGTATACACAACCTATCATTCACATCAGTTCGTTCAAATAACAGACCCTGAGTTATTTTATGATCGGGAAACTCTGCTGGCTTTTCTTGCATTAGCTTAAGCATGGTTCCATAAACAGGATCAGAGGGATACACATTCCTAATTCTTTCTTGTAGGTCAACACCCATATCTAAATAAGTGACAATAGCACCGAAAAAGTCTGATCTACGACTTAGTGCATCATCAACAACGTTATATTTACCCTTTACTGGCTTTAGCTCAAAGTCAAACATATCAATCTCCGCAGCCCACCTTGTCAACTTAGGTGTCATTCGAGCTTGCGTTTTGAGCCAGCGAAGCGTTTCATGGTCGGAGTATACCTTAAAGTGTCTTCCCAGAAGATAGTGTCGCCAATGATTGAGAGGCTCACGAAGAGCATACAACTCTCTTTCATACGTCGAAGCGGTCACTTTCTCGTTAGGTAATCGGCAAGACATAAACTCCACAGGTATGTATCCATGCCCATCATCTTGCTAGAGTACAGCACCTATACCATATTGACTAGCATCAGTTGTGACCACGAAAGGTAAGGAAGGGTCTGCCACCTTTAGAACCGGATAGTTAATCAAACACTTTTTCAGACGCTTGAAAGACATCGTGCAGTCTGAATCCCACTTCCAAATTACCTCTTTCTTAAGCAACCTGCGAAGGGGAGCAACTATTATCGTAAAGTGTCTTACGAACTTTCGATAGTAGTTGGTTAACCCAAGGAACGACCGCAACTCAGTCAAAGTGCGGGGGTTCGGCCAATCTCTGATTGCTGCTATCTTTGCATCTTCCGGTTTGACCCCCATCTCCATCAATCACATGTCCCAGGTATAGAACCTGACGCTTAGCCCATTCACACTTCTTTGGGTTTATCTTGAGTTTTGCTTCTCTTAGCTTATTTAGCACAAGTCGAAGGTGCTCAGCATGCTCTTTTTCATCTTTGCTGAAATCAAAATATCATTTAGGTAAATAACAACAAATTTGTCAAGCCACTCACGAAATAGTTCATTCATCGTTCTTTGGAAAGTGGCAGGGACATTCGTTAGACCAAAGGGCAAAACTACGAACTCATAATGCCCACACCTGGTTCTGAAGGCAGTCTTATGTTGGTCTTCCGGCTCTACCTCAATTTGATGGTAGCCGGATTTCAAGTCAATCTTTGAAAATATTTTGCAACCCTGCACGCGATCCAACAAATCATCTATTCGCGGTAATGGTTCATCATTTTTCACTGTTATATCGTTTAATCTCCTATAATCTATACACATGCGAACACCGCCGTCTTTCTTAGGTACAAAGAGCACAGGCGCACCATAGGGCGAGGAGCTAGGTCTTATCCATCCATTTTTCAACAACTCATCGAGTTGGGTTCGCAACTCATCCAACTCCTGGGGCGACATACGATAGATAGGCCCCTTCGGGGGGGCGCTCCCTGGAATGATATCAATGCGGTGTCGGATTGGTCTTTCGACTACACCGCTTGGGGCTTCAGCCACATCTGCGAACTCTTTCAGGATCCTTTCAATCTCTTGAGACCTGACTTCTTCCTTAGTTTCTCCTTCCTTTACTGGGCGCACATATGCAACAAAGACTTGGTCATACAAGTTATGTTTCTTCACATGGCGAGCGAAC